TCGATGATTGATTTCATAATCGTATCATCTGATCTGCGGCCTTCTGTCTTGGACACTCGGGTAAAGAGAGGGGCAGAGCTGTCAACTGATCACCACCTGGTGGTGAGTTGGCTCAGGTGGCGGGGGAGGAAGCCGGTCAGACCTGGTAGGTCCAAGCGCATAGTGAGGGTCTGCTGGGAACGTCTGGCAGAGGCTCCTGTTCGCCGGAGCTTTAACTTGCACTTCCGGCAGAATTCCAAATGCATACCGGGGGAGGTCGGGGACATTGAGTCTGAATGGACACTGTTCCAGTCAAGCTGAAGAAGGAGGCTTACCGGGAATTATTAGTCTGGGGGTCAAGTCCAAGACCATGGTTCTCAGCCGGAAACGGGTAGATTACCCTCTTCAGGTCAGGGAAGACGTACTGCCTCAAGTGGAGGAGTTTAAGTATCTCGGGGTGTTGTTCAGGAGTGAAGGTAGGCCAGATCGGGAGCTGGATAGACAAATTGGAGCGGCGTCTGCAGTTTTGCAGGCGCTTAACTGGTTCGTCGTGGCTAAGAAAGAACTGAACCAAAAAGCAAAGCTCTCGAGCCTTGATTAGTTAAAACTGAACTGTGTTCGTGGAACGACATGAGGCTAAGTTTAGAAATGGACCTTGGTTGAGTCTGACTTTTTCTGGAAAGTCTGCCTTTCTTTAGCTACTTTCATGGAATACCCCCCTGACCCAAGTGGGTTGTCCACATTTTTGTTCCCCGCCTGCATGATGCCTCATCCTTGTGCTAAAGCCGGCCAGATCCCTGACAGAACTAGAAATGCCAGTAGGCCTAAAGTACCCAGTAAGCCTGGGAATCTTTTTCTGTGTCTCCTGATTATGAAGCCCTTTCAGTTTTGTGCTTTCCATTTCTTTGCTCTGCTGTCATATTTCTGAAATTTTGACATAACGGCCAGAGAAACTAACTTTGTAAAGCAATGTTAACTGGTCAATTCATCATTTTTTTGTTTGTCCAACTAATGACAACCAATCATTACCAGAATACAAAAATATCACAGATATTTGGCACCTTTGGTAACACCCTTTAAAAAGGCTGTTACTTAGAGATCATCCAGTCTGTTAAAAAAATAATTTAAGTAACTGTTCCATTTTTTCTAAGGTGGGTAAAAAAAGTGCAATAAACAGAATAAATGGCAGCAGACAAAATCTTGAATTTTTTTAGATGAATATTTTCTTTCTTCTTAACTATTATATATTTATCTTTGAACAACTCTCTTATTCAGAGTCATGGGGGTGGGTTGCAGCCCATCAAACCAGCACAGATCACATGACTGAGGTACACCATGGATGGGATGCCAGTCCAACAAAGAACACATATACACTCACCTAAAGGATTATTAGGAACACCTGTTAAATTTCTCATTAATGCAATTATCTAATCAACCAATCACATGGCAGTTGCTTCAATGCATTTATGGGTGTGGTAATGGTCAAGACAATCTCCTGAACTCCAAATTGAATGTCAGAATGGGACAGAAAGG